CCAAGATCCCCGAAGCAACAGGAAACTACAATCAAGGCATCAAATCCTAAGTAACCAAGATCTGCTCCTAAAATTAAGGAGAATCCCACAAGGAAAGGGCAAGGATCTCGGCTAAACAGATAATGGCCCTATATATGTTATGTAACACCTCCAAGCAGAAAAAAAAACCCAAGAGGCAACTGTAACCATTGTATTCTTACTACCCTCATCATAGAAAGGAAAAAGGGGCAAGAGTCTCTATTGACAGAGTGGATTAGTCGAACTCCCGAGCTGGTGAACCACTATAATTCTTCGGTATTAACACCCAAATCCCTTTTTAACTCTTGCACGATCATCACTGCACAACATATTTCCAATTCATTGCTCATACCAGTTGGTCCACACCATCAATTTGGCGCCGTCTGTGGGAACGACTGTTCCTGTTATAAATAAGTTGATTTTTCAGTGACTGATGGTATCAATGCAAAACATGAGCCGAAGTCAAACCATTCCACCACGGATGCAAGATCAACAGGAAGTCGCCCATGGCAGACAACCTGAGAACGTACGAGAGACAGGTCCACTTATGGAGGGCCTTCCCATGAATAATGAGATGGAGGCCCTTCGTCTTGTCAATAAGCGCTTGATAAAACAGAATGAAGAGCTCTTAAAGCTCTTATAATGCCCACAGGAGGCACGACAAGCCCAAGAAGGCCAGAACAACCCACCACCAAGAGAGCAACCACATCTAGACCCCCTCAGAGAGGCTAATGAAGTGTGAGAAAAGATTCAGACCATGGGGCAAGAACCTCGTCTACCCCCTAGGAATGGCCACAACGAGGAGGTGCAAAGTCAGTATAAGGAATGGGAGAAGAGCGATTTCTTCCCATACCAGCAAGAAAGGAGAGAATATCACTGGGAGCAGCGCTTCAGGGGCATTCAGCAGCAGCTCAGCCAGATGAAGGAAGCTGTGAAGGGCAAGGCCCCAGTCACAATGGATGTTTTGGTGCAACAAATCGAATCCCCGTTCACTATTGGGGTGCTACACTTCCCTCTCCCACCTAAATTCAGAATGCTGCAGATAGATGCTTTTGACAGGACCAAAGATCCAGTGGACCATCTCAATACCTATAAGAACCAGATGGAGTAGTATGGATATCAAGATCTAGTGAGATGCAGGGCCTTTGCCATCACCCTAAAAGGCTCAGTTCTAGCATGGTTCAATAGGCTCCCTCCAGCCTCGATATCCTCTTTTAAAGAGATTTGCATCTTGTTCGTATCCCATTTCATTGGAGCTTGGACCTACAGGAAATCGAACTACCACTTATTGAACGTGAAGCAAGGACCTGATGAGAACCTACGATCATATGTCCAGATGTTCAACTCAGAATCCCTGAAGGTAGACGTACCAGATGAGAAATTTGCTATCACAGCTTTCATCGCAGGTCTGGGCGTGCAATCTAAGGACCTGATGTTCTTTGTCTCAAAGAACCCGCAGGCGAGCATGACAGATGTGCTTGCCAAAGCAGAGAAATATATAAATGGTGAGGAAGTACTCCTCTCTAAGGTCGGGAGCTATTCATCACGAAAGGAGAAAGGGAAGGAGGAAAAGAAGAGGGATCGAAGTCCCAGGAGGAAAAGAGAACGGGGCAAGTCTCCAAGAAGAGACAAAGAGCATTCCCCGAAGAGAAGAGGAAACGTCAGGGACCGTCTGGGCCCTCCACATCCAGAGTTACAACCGAGGTATGTACCTCAGTAGCTCACCCCTCTGACTGCTACAGTGTCTCAGATCCTGTATGAGGTGCAGAATGAGAAATTCTTAAGGTGGCCACCCCGAATGAAAGTAGACCCAGCGAAAAGGGATCCCACAAAGTATTATGACTTTCACAGAGACCATGGACATCATACAAATGATTATATCCAATTAAAGAAGGAAATAGAGTTTCTAATCCAAGGAGGACAACTGCGACGCTATGTGGCCAATGACAATCAAAATCAAGCTCTCCTACCTCCACCACCTCAGCATCAAGCACCAGAATCGCACCAGTAGCCTATGGGGGAGATCAGGGTGATATCTGGAGGATTTGTAGGAGGAGGAGAGACCAGCTCTGCTAGAAAGGCACACTTGCAAAGAATCAGGGCTGGAGAAGCTCCCGAAGTGTTTGCTGTGTCTAAGGCTCCACGACTGGACACAGTTATCACTTTCTCAGATTTAGATCTGGAGGAGTGTCAACATCCCCATGATGACCCTTTGATAGTAAGAGCTGTGATGACCAACAGGACAGTCCATCGTGTTTTAATTGACAATGACATCTCGACAGATATCATCAAGCACCAGATCAAAATCGAGCTCTCCCACCTCCACCACCTCAGCATCAAGCACCAGAACCGCACCAGCAGCCTATGGGAGAGATCAGGGTGATATCTGAAGGATTTGTGGGAGGAGGAGAGACTAGCTCTGCTAGAAAGGCACACTTGCGAAGAATCAGGGCTGGAGAAGCTCCCGAAGTGTTTGTTGTGTCTAAGGCTCCGCGACTGGACACAGCTATCACTTTCTCAGATTTAGATCTGGAGGGGTGTCAACATCCCCATGATGACCCTTTGGTAGTAAGAGCTGTGATGGCCAACAGGACGGTCCATCGTGTTTTAATTGACAATGACATCTCAACAGATATCATCAAGCACCAGATCAAAATCGAGCTTTCCCACCTCCACCACCTCAGCATCAAGCACCAGAACTGCACCAGCAGCCTATGGGGGAGATCAGGGTGATATCTGAGGATTTGTGGGAGGAGGATAGACCAGCTCTGCTAGAAAGGCACACTTGCGAAGAATCAGGGCTGGAGAAGCTCCCGAAGTGTTTGCTGTGTCTAAGGCTCCACAACTGGACACAGCTATCACTTTCTCAGATTTAGATCTGGAGGGGTGTCAACATCCCCATGATGACCCTTTGGTAGTAAGAGCTATGGTGGCCAACAGGACGGTCCATCGTGTTTTAATTGACGATGACATCTCGACAAATATCATTTTCGCTTCTTCTTTCGACAAGATGGATATAGGAAGGGAAAAACTTAAACCAGTAAGTACCCACCTGTTGGGATTCTCATGAAAAGGGTACTGCCCCTATGATCAATCCAACTCATCCTGACCTTAGGTGACCCACCATGTCAGGCCAAGACAACTATGAAGTTCCTAGTAGTCGATGCACCCTCAACATACAACCTGCTCCTCGGAAGACCTTCACTCAATTATATGAGGGATATTCCCTCTGCCTATCACCTCGTAGTAAAGTTTTTAACAGAAAATGGAGTTGGAATGGTCCGAGGAGACCAACGTGTGGCACGAGAGTTACATGGCGTCCATGAGAAGCAAGGAGGTAGAGAACATCCAACTGGATGAACTTGACATGAGAGATGAACTTGAAACCAAACCAACGTCATCAGAAGAGTTGGAGCCTATTCAAATTGATGAGGAGCCAGAACACCTCGTTTACGTTGGGTCCAAGCTGAGTAAGGAGATTAAGGATCTCCTTATCCAATTCCTCAAAAGGAACAAGGAAGTTTTTGCATGGAAGCAAGATGACATGAAAGGTATTGATCCCTCCGTTGTTACTCATAAGCTTAGCGTGAATCCTACTTGCAAGCCTGTAAAGCAGAAAAGGAGGAGTTTTGCCCTAGAGAGCCAGAAAACCATCAATGAGGAGGTTAGCAAGCTCCTTCACGCAAAAGCCATCAGGAAAGTAGACTACCCAGTTTGGCTAGCAAACGTGGTCCTCGTCAAAAAGACAAATGGCAAATGACGCCTCTGCATTGATTTTACAGACCTCAACCGTGCCTACCCAAAAGACAGTTTCCCTTTACCTCGAATAGATTTGATTGTAGATGCCACTGTAGGGCATGAGCCCTTCAGCTTCATGGACGCTTTCTCAGGGTATAATCAGATCATGATGGATCCTAGTGATCAAGAGAAGACCTTCTTCATAACTGAGCAGGGGACATACTGCTACCAAGTAATGTCTTTCGGTCTAAAGAATGCAGGAGCCACTTACCAGCGCCTGATGAATAATATGTTTCAAAAATAGATTGAAACCTCTATGGAGGTCTATATTGACGACATGCTGGTCAAGT